GAATCACCAGGCCTTCAACAGACATTGATTAACACATACCCATGAGGTAGGTAATAATTAATAGTTATTATTGACACGAATCATTTTGTATCTCTAAAGTATAATAGCAAGTTAAACTTTAAACAAAGAACCGATTTCAGTGAGCCAAAACTTCTTATCTGAAATGCAGATATTAACGTCCTTGAGGGGGCGGGCTAGAGTCGTAACCATAGCAACAGAAGCTAAACCAATCAGAAAGCTAGCCTTCTCAAACTGTGATAAAAGGCCGGAAATGACACACGCCCACCGAGCATTTCCGGGAGGCGCACACCGAGACGGTTCATTCTTTAATGCTCCAAAATATATGCATATATTTTAATAATGTAATTGTTTGTCTCTGAATATCTGTAACCCCTGTTTGTCAAATAAATCTTTTATACCGAGGGCGACGTCTCAGCTGTTTTGAACACGACGTGGTAACCAGCCACGACACAACACGAGGATTCCGTAGAAACAGAGGTATGGATGCCAGGTGAGGTGGAGGAAAAGCCTTTGATTGCCCATAAAGGTCATGAAACTGTACTTTTCCCATGATGGAATTAATATTTAAAAGTGTCTGGCGGTCATAAGTACCATACCATACCATACCATACCATACCATACCAATTTATTTCTAAAGCACTTAAAATACAACAAGCAGCCTTCCGAAGTGCTGTACAAAATTAAAAACAAACAAAAAACAGCAAAACAATAAAAAAACCTAAATATATATTTTTAAAAAATGATCAGAACATCACCAGTAAAAGAATCCAACATTAAGACACAGATGCTGACTCACTCTAGGTTAAAAGCCAATGAAAAAAAATGTGTTTTTAAATGAGTTTTAAAAACAGAAAGTGACGGGGCCTGCCTGACCTCCAGCTCATTCCACAATTTAGGAGCCAGAGCTGAAAAGGCTCTGGCTCCACTGGATTTATAAAAGGTTTTCAAGACTGCTAAAAACATCTGGTCATAGGATCTAAGTGCACGTGATGGTATGTAAAAGTGAAGCAGGTCAGACAAGTAAGAGGGACTAAGACCGTGCAAAGACTTAAAAACAAACAATAGAACTTTAAAATGGATTGGAAACTGGACAGGAAGCCAGTGAAGGGACATCAGAACTGGAGTGATGTGCTCACGCCTGTACCAGTCAAAAATCGTGCAGCAGCATTTTGTACCAGCTGTAACCATGAGAGCGAGGCCTGGCTAACTCCTATCAACAGAGCGTTACAATAATCCAGGCGTGAAGTAATAAAAGCGTGGATTACTGTCTCTAAGTGGTGTCTAGGAAGGAGGGGCTTGATTTTTGACAGGTGCCTCAGCTGAAAGAAAGAGGACTTAACCACATTGTTGACATGGCAGTCAAGTTTCAGGCAGGGTCCATTTTCACTCCTGAATTTGTCACAATGGATTTTTCATATAGGGCCAAAGAGGAAAAATCCAAGGTGGAGAAACTGCTAGGGCCAGAGGATTTAAAGACCATAACCTCAGTTTTCTTTTCATTAAAATGGAGGAAATTAAGTACCATCCATCCTCTAATGTCATCAAAACAGTCCAGGAGAGACTGAGTGGAGCCATTATGTTTCAAAGGGAAATAGACTTGACAGTCATCTGCATATAAATGAAACTGCACACCATGCTTTCTGAAAATAGAACCCAGTGGCAGAAGGTAAAGAGAAAAAAGGAGAGGACCAAGAATAGAGCCCTGGGGTACCCCTCAGGGGAGGGCAGCAGAAGCAGAGGTAAAATTATCCATCATCACACTGAAACTTCTATCAGAAAGGTAAGACCTAAACCACTGCAGAGCTGAGCCAGTGATGCCCACCCACTGCTCCAGTCTGGAGATGAGAATGTCGGTCAACTGTGTCGAAAGCAGCTGTTAAATCTAAAAGCACAAGTAAAACACGGTTTCCAGAATCCAGTGCTAAAAATATGTCATTAAAAATCCTTAAAAGAGCAGATTCAGTGCTGTGGTACATTTTAAAACCAGACTGGAAGACCTCCAAAATTTTAACTTCATCCAAAAATGCCTTCAGCTACGTGTAAACAATTTTTTCCAAAATTTTGGATATAAAGGGTAATTTGGAGATTGGCCTAAAGTTTGACAAAGATGATGGATCAAGGCCAGGTTTTTTTTTTTCAACAATGGCTGCACCACAGCATGTCTAAAATTGCTTGGTACCACACTAGACATCAAATTGCTGTTGATCATTTTTAAGATAAAGGAGCCAACAGTAGAAAATGCCTCCTTAAGAAAATATGGAGGAAAAACATCAAGGGTAGAACCCGATGATTTCATACTGGTGACAAGTTTCTCTAGATAGGAGAGGGAAATAGGCTCTAAATGATCAAAAACAGCAGGACAGGGGACAGGGAGGGAAGGGTCATGGGATGGAAAAGAGATACAAGCCCTAGTGTTAATAACCTTGTCCAAGAAGAAATTAAGAAACTTATCACAAAGTTCTCTGGATACTTACCGGTTCATGAGCATTGAGGACAGTGTTGATTGTAAGTTAACAGTGATGACACAATCTGAACAAAAGTCAGGAAAAATAGCACAAAAAGTAACAACTCGAGGAGAGAAGCCACATGCAACGGCGCCATCTTGCTTCGCCTCCGTCAACTTGATATCATCCATGATTTTTGTTGATGGGGAGGGATGGAGACATGTCTGAGGGCAGCTTGTACAAACAGTTTTTGAGCGGGGGCAGGGGGTGTTCAGCATGAGGGAAGAGGCGCCTTTAGCTTTTTAGCTAAAGAGCCAGTATTTCGCGCTGCTAGCTTAGTGCTATGTCAGGCCGGGTGGGGGGAAAACTTTGTTTTGGTAGGTGGTATGCTCAGTTCTGTTGACGGGGTGAAGAACCCCACTTGTATAATGGTAGGGGAAACACTGAACATGGTGTTCATAATGAACAATCCATGACGAGCACAGAAGTCCAATATCAGAACACCACTCGGGTTCAGATCGGGGGGGCGTTCCTCCCAACCACAACCCTCCTGGTCTCACTGTCATTGCCCACGTGAGCACTGACGTCCCCCAGCAGAACAAAGGAGTCTCCAGGAGAGGCACTCTCCAGTACCCCGTCCAAGGATTCCAAAAAGGGTGGGTAATCTGAACTGCTGTTTGCCGCATAAGCACAAACGACAGTCAGAACCTGTCCCCACAAATGTAGGCGGAGGGAGGCTACCCTCTCGTTCACCGGGGTGAATCCCAATATACAGACACCAAGATGGCAAGGGGCAACAAGTAGGCCCACTCCTGCTTGGCACCTCTCACCAGGGGCAACTCCAGAGTGGAAGAGTGTCCAACAGCTCTCAAGTAGACTGGTTCCAGATCCAAAGTCGTGCGTCGAGGTCAGTCCGACTATTTCTAGCCGGAACCTCAACCTCACACACCAGCTCAGGCTCCTTCCCCACTAAGAGGTGTGACATTCCATGTCCCGAGAGCAAGCTTCTGTAGCTGAGGATCAGACCACCAAGTTCCCTGCCCTCGGCCACCACCCATTCCACATTGCACCCGACGCCTTTGGCCCCTCCAACAGGTGGTGAGCCCATGGGAAGGTTTGGATACCAGTTTTCTTTTAATGAATGAAATCATTTAAAAATTTCCTATTTACTCAGGTTATTTTGATTGATTCAACGATAAAAATTCAAGTGTGACAAAAAGTGAAATCTAAAGATCCACAAAGAAGGGAATACTTTGTCACAGTTTTATATCGAATGCATTTATTACAGAATGAGGATATACCATAATTTCCGGACTATAGAGTGCAACATAAATTAAAAAATAAACAAAAAATTTTGCACATAAATAGGTTGCCCTTGTGTATAAACTGCATGTCCACGTTGTAACATGAGATATTTACACAGGAATATTTATTAAACTATCAATTAAATATGCACCGGTAACATACAGAAATACATATAGTAAATGTTTTGTTTCTGAACAATGCCTTTAACACAGCTGGTAAAATAAAATAGTGTTAAATAATTTTTATATATGAATGTTTCTTTTCAGTGCCCTGAGATGACTTCTGTTGTGAATTGACACTAAATAAATAAACTGAATTGAATTGAATAAAAATAAATACAGAAGCCTACCAGGAAAAGTCACTGATCAGTATGTTCATCTTCCTCTTGTGCACTAAAACCAATAAAGTGGTATTTTTCAGTGTCAGAACTCAACAGCCTCAGAAAAACTTCATCACACATGTCCTCAGTCTCTCTTTCGCTGTCAAAAAAATACAGTAACCTACCAGGAAGTCATTGATGGCTATTTTCATGTTCCACCTGCTGCAAAGTGCAAGTTTGTGCTCCGTGGAGCAAAAGTTGCTCTGCGCATGCAAGGGAATCCCACATCACATGGGCGGAAATCCCTCGTCACGGGAGGGGGGAATCCTCCACGGGAGTTATCTCCTCTCATTTCATTGGTCCACTGTGACCTGTTTGTAAAGTTCACTGGTCATGTTTGTTTTCCCTTCATTTATACTGGTAGTCTCATTAAGTCACGAGGACCCACACCCCAAGAGAGACGTGCACTGAGCAGCTATGTGAGCACCCGGGTGCCATGAGGCTAAATGTTTTTGATGGCATGAAGCTCGTTAGCCCGTTAAAAAAAAGAAATCCATAAATTAGCCACTGCATTGTACAAGCTGTGGTGTTCAAATCTTGTGAAAAAAGTTGCGGATTATAGTCCGTAAATTACAAAGTCAAAAGTCTAAGTTGTTTAATCGTGTTCCTGTGGTAGAACAAAATTGTGTACACAGTCCCAGTTACATCCAACAACAGTATAAATTGTAAAGAAAAACAGTGATAAGATCTAAGATATGAACTAAGAAATATGTTAAACTAAGAATAAACTAAGCACTAATATAGTACAAAAACAATACGACGAACAACAGCAACATGAACACGAGAACCCGTCTGATGTTGGAGTGAAAAAGGAAGCTGATGCTTTGATTTCTGAAGGACAATTATCTCACCATGTTGATGAGAAGAGTTTTGGCAGTCTGCAGGTCTTTGTGCTGCAGGCAGAAGAAAACCTGACGCAGACCCTCCATTCGCAGGGCAGGCAGGCGCTGCTCGGCCTGACTGGACCTCCGCAGCACAGCTTGAGCTCTAGGAATCTGGTTTGTCAGAATGAAATGACAGACCACTTCCTGCCAAGAACAAACAAATTAACATTTAGATAAGATCTTAAATCAACAACAATGAAAAAAACTATAACTAGTTTATCCTGATGCATGCTCAATAATCCAGGTACAAAAAAAATCTAAAAAAAAGTTAAATCTGGTCCTCTGAACATTCAAAAAAACAAAACAAAGCAAAACAACAAAAAAAAGTAGAAACGTTTCATCTTCCATCCGAAAGACTTCCTCAGTTTGAGGTGCTGTATTCAGCTCAGTCTCTTAAATAGCACCTTCTCAGAGTGGATCAACCATTTTGCTGCTGACAACCAAAACCAGCTGATCACATACCATACCGTACCATACCATTCCATTCCATTTTATTTATAGAGCACTTAAAACAGCGACAAGGCCAACCAAAGTGCTGTACAGACAGAACAACAGGTAACATACAAAGCAAAATGCAAAATGAGATAAATCAGAATATAGACATTAAAATGATGCAGATAATGACGACAAACCAGTGTGGAGCGTACAGGATCAAACACAGATCATCTGGTGTTGAAAGCTACTGAATAGTAGTGAGTTTTTAAATGGGACTTGAAAACTGAGAGGGAGGGGTCGAGTCTGACAAGCAGAGGTAACTCGTTCCAGAGTCTTGGTCCTGCTACAGAGAAGGCCCTGTCCCCTCTGCGCTTAAGATGAGTTCCTGGAACTGTGAGGAGCAACTGGTCCGTTGACCTCAGGGAACGAGGTGGGACATACGGTTGTAGCAGATCAGAGAGATGGGGGGGTGACACTGTTCAGTGATTTGTAGACATACATGAGTAATTTGAACTGGATTCGAAGGTGAACCGGTAACCAGTGCAGTGAGGCCAAAACTGGTGTAATGTGCTCTCTTTTGCCTGTACTGGTTAAAAATCAGGCTGCTGCATTCTGGACCAGTTGTAGTCGTGCAATGAATGTCTGACTGATACCAAACAGGAGTGAATTGCAGTAATCAAGCCTAGATGTAATGAATGCATGTATTACTGTCTCCAGGTTCTTTTTGGACAATATGGGCTTCAGTTTAGACAGCCGCCTCAGCTGGAAGAAACATGATTTAACAATCATGTTTACAGGATTGTTAAGCTTCAGGGAAGGGTCCATTATCACTCCCAGATTAGTGACTCTTTGTTTTTCTGACGGGGTTAGAGCGGAGAGGTCGATACAGTGGTTTGTGATCGTGTCGTTGGGAGGGAACAACATTACTTCAGACTTCTTTTCATTGAAACTTAAGAAATTTAAAGACATCCAGACCCTGATGTCAGCCAGGCAGTTGAGCAGCTGTTGAATAGAGCATGTACCATTGTGTCTTGGGGGGAAGTAAATTTGACAGTCATCAGCGTAGAAATGAAAGGGCATGTTGTGTTTCTGGAAAATAGCACCAAATGGCAGCAGGTATAAAGAGAATAGGAGGGGACCCAGGATGGACACCTGCGGAAGCCCCCATTTAAGCTCTGCCTCTGCGGAACTAGAATCCTTGATGGAGACACAAAAGGATCTGTCAGTGAGGTAAGATCTGAACCAATTGAGGGCTGACCCTGTGATGCCGACCCACTGCTCCAACCTAGCAATGAGAATCTCATGGTTGATGGTGTCAAAGGCAGCTGCAAGGTCCAATAGGACAAGCAGCACAGAAACACTGGTATCTGTGGTTAAGAAAATGGCATTAAAGACATTCAGCAGGGCAGTTTCAGTGCTGTGGAGAGGTTTAAAGCCAGATTGGAAAAGCTCTAAGATGGCGTGATCCTCCAGGAAGCACTTCAACTGGGACTCGACTATTTTCTCCAGTAGTTTAGAAACAAACGGGAGTTTGGAGACAGGCCGGTAGTTGGACACAACTGAGGGGTCAAGGTTTGATTTTTTCAGGAGAGGCTGGACAGCAGCATGTTTAAAGGTTTTTGGCACCATGCCAGTGGATAAACTACTGTTTACTATATCAAGAATGGACGGACCTAGGGGCTGTTTACACGGGGCGTATTTTGAGTGCATCCGCAGCTTTCTCTCTGCGGTTCTGCTGATCATTTACACAACACCAGTGGCCCCCCTCATTGAATCCAGAGGTTTCTGAATCCACCTTCCAGAGTGGAAGTTTTTCGCTGACCCCCTGCTGATGATGTAAACATATCCCGCTGAGGCTTTGTGTTAAACCACATGCGCACACGCGGACAGAGCTATATTTCTATCAACATGGCGGCGGACACACTGCTTTCAGACCCTCGACTGATGGAATATATTTTAATCTCATAGTTAATCTACGTCAGATTCAGGTGCTGTGACCGACATCTGTGTTGGAAGAGACACAATCTGATCCAGTTCTAATGTCGCTGTTTATAAAACAAGGCACGCGCACACGTCGCGCTGCACTATAACATACTACATGTGCTAAATAACAACAGTTTAATAATAATAAACAGTATTTATGTTAGTGTGCGAGATATAATGAAGGTCGGAGCTAAATGAAGCTATCTGGACATGATGTAATTCAAATTTAAAATGATGCTAAACATATAGCGTGAACACTAAAGTTGAAAATGAAGACATCAGGTTTAATTTTTATTTATTTATTCAACACCACAAACTGTATGTCACATAAACACTGACAATTAAACTGAACACACTATTAAAACACGTTACCTGAACTTGAATGGAGTGAATAAAAGAAAAGAGGAGATTTTAAAATACAAACCGGATTCCAAAAAAGTTGGGACACTAAACAAATTGTGAATAAAAACTGAATGCAATGATGTGGAGATGGCAAATGTCAATATTTTCTTCGTAATATAACATAGATGACAGATCAAAAGTTTAATCTGAGTAAATGTAACATTTTAAAGGATATATATGTTGATTCAAAATGTCACAGTGTCAACAAATCCCAAAAAAGTTTGGACAAGTAGCAATAAGTGGCATCCTCCAGATGCATGTAAACCCAAAATGTGACTGTGTCAATGCAAATCTTTTCCTTTAACATACGAAAAACCTATGTTTCCTCCCATCGTGTCCGTGTAAATAGGGCCCTAGAGTAGGAAAAGTTTCCTTTAGTAGTCGAGGGGGGACCACATCAGAGTCAGAGTTTCTTTATTGTCATTCGCACCTCATGTGGTACATGTGGTGGAGCGAAATTATGTACACAGGGTCCCAGTTACATCCAACAATAAAATGTATAAGAAAAACAGTAATAAGATCTAAGATATGAACTAAGAAAAACATCAACTAAATATACACTAAGCACTCATAACATAAAACATTGAACATCAGCACAAACATGAACATGAGTCTGTGAGCAGATGTGCACGCATGAACACATCAACATTGAAACAGATCAGCAGCAACATGAAACAGATCAGCAGCAACATGATATGGTTTTTCACAGTGATTATTCTAGTTAGAGATTCATGAGTCTAACAGCCTCAGGGTAGAAGCTGTTCCTCAGTCTAGTGGTTCTACACTTAATGCTCCTTAACCTCCTTCCTGAGGGGAGTGGGGCAAAAAGTGTGTGTGCTGGGTGGGTGGGGTCCTTCATGATGCAGGTGGCCCTCTTCCTGCATCTGGAGGTGTAGATGTCTGTGATGGTGGGGAGACTGATTCCAACAGATTTCTGTGCAGCCTTCACCACTCTCTGCAAAGCTTTTCTTTCTGCAGCTGTGCAGCCTCCATGCCACACATTGATGCTCGAGCACAGGATGCTCTCCACTGCACACCTGTAGAAGGAGGTGAGGACTGAGCTTCCCAGACCAGCTCGCCTCAGCCGTCTGAGGAAGTAGAGTCTCTGATGAGCTTTCTTGATCAGGCTGGTGGTGTTGTTGCTCCAGCTGAGGTTGTCATTCATGTGTACACCCAAGTACTTGTAGCTGGAGACCACTTCCACCGCAGATCCTCTTATGTTCAGGGGGGTGTAGGTGTTTTTGTTCCTTCTGAAGTCCACAATCATCTCCTTTGTCTTCTTCACATTGATGTGAAGGTTATTCTCTCTGCACCAGCTCTCCAGGTGTTCCACCTCCTGCCTGTAGCTGGACTCATCATTGTTTGTGATGCATCCCACCACCGCTGTATCATCTGCAAACTTTACAATGTGACAGCCTGGATGGGTAGCTGCACAATCATATGTGAGCAGAGTAAACAGGAGGGGGCTCAACACACATCCCTGAGGAGAGCCAGTGCTGAGGGTTATGGTGGAGGAGGAGAGGTTGTGGATCCTCACTAACTGTGGTCTGTTTGTTAAAAAGTCTAGTACCCAGTTGCA